TCAACACATTAGAATGATATCAGAAGGATCATGTGACACTGAGGACTGGAGTAATGGCTGCTTCAGCTTTGTCATCACATTGATAATTTACATTTAAATTACATTAAAATACAAATCAGTTATTTTAAATTGTAAGAATATTTCACAGTATTACTGTTTTTCACAATTCCACAAATTGAGCTTAACCTAGAATATTCCTTTAAGCAAACCTGTATTTCAACAGTGAGAGGGTCAATGTGACAATTGTTATCATTTCCATCTGTCACGACTCGCGTGTCATTTCTCAACTGTAATCAAATCCTTTGTAACAGCTACATGTTAGGTGGTATGAGTAGGGGCACACCTTGGTCCTCACAGGTGGGTTTTTCTCGGTTCTTGGAGCTACTCTCAGACACACTTGAGCTGAGAGAACAATAGGATGATGTCCTTGATCCACTCTCCATACTGATGAGCTAAAAGCACAACAATTAACACACAAACAGGACAGAAATGCATAACCACCAAATATGAATGTGTGTGTTCGCGGCCATGGCCGTGCTAAGTGTGGGCCCTGCTGTGCTGCAAAGAAGCAATGGCCTCCCTAGTGTCGACAGTAATCTGTCCTGGGGAAAATCTATTGTACTGAAACTTAATTGACGGCAACTTACAACACATTCATGTTTCGGCCACCATACCCCTCCCCTTGCCTTCCTCCTTCCTTCATAAAAGAAAGATTAATGCCTCCATCCCTTTGCACCTGCATCCAGTGCTTTGAGTCCCCGTACCCCTCGCTGACATTGTTTACCCCCTAAACCTTGGCCTTTGACCCAGCTGTGGCACATCCATGTCCTAAAATTCAGCCCCCTTATCAGCATGGCAAGTCAGAAAAGCCCAACTTTCTTTTCTATAAGCGACTGCACCTTTTTCTCATCCGTAGTGACTTATTAGCCCCACACCTGCCGCCTAGCAGCAAGCAGAAATCCCCCAGTCGCCTCCATACAGCAACGACAGCCATAAAGTGGCTCATAGATTCCTTTATGTGTGTGTTGAAATGGTTTTATGAGCGACATACTCACCCCGGGGCGCTTTCTACGTCCCTTGAAAGTTGCCAAAGAATCTTGGCTGCTGTTTCTGCCACTTAATGGTTTGTGGTTGTCCAGGGCTGCAAATAGACACACATGGCTTGAAAACAAGGGCACACCAAATATACAAGTGCAAAAGAAATGCAAGAAGAGGTATGATAGTGAGTGATTAATGCCTTGTATTTGACATGACTGAAGGTTCATAATCCCTCTGCAAATACTGATAGAAATGGTGCCTCACAAACGCGCAACAGCACCTGTCTACTCGCAGCATGCCAGGTGCAGACACACCTAGCGAGGAGCCTGGCCTCCACGCGCTGCCGTGCTTATTTGTGCCAGACTTTAGAAACACATTAACACTATTTCAAAACACATCCGATCAAGATTGCACCCAGATCTGATCCGGCGCACATGGTTTTCCTTTGTAGTGCCTTTATCTGTGGATTGCGCCTGAACAATGCACAATAGCCGCATCGCAGGATTACGTCCTGATAGGGGGCCATTGCAACCAGACGTGTGGATGAACTGAGGTTTTGGGTTAATGATAAACTTGACCCGTTTTTTATCTTGATTAATATGACTTTTTCATAACTCCATAAAGCGGTTTTTTTTTTTGGAGGAGGAGTAACAAACCGCTACATCTTTATGGCTTCAGTTAAGGACTTGTAGCCGAACAGATGAGAGGCATGCCGGCTTTGGTTCAAAGGTAACGGTCACAATGGGGTCACACACACATACACATACACAAATACTAAAAACATTACTCTCAAGGACGGCCAGCAATCGGCACACCCGTAACGTTATTCCCCGACGCCCTCTCCTTTACACAGCACAATTGCCAAATTTCCCCAACTCAAATCAACCGTTCCTTTTGGGATTTTTTGCCCCCCTCTTAACTGTTATTTTTCAGAGTTATTTAAAGGCAATCAAGGCGCTGTTGCTCGTGAATGTAAACATTACAGTCTGATGAAAGGTGACAGGGAGAGATAGCAGGGTCCAATGCGTCTGCTACAGTCTTTTTATGCGCAAATATGCGCACAGACAGGCAAGCTTATACATGCACACACCCACACACAAAGGGACGCACACATTCACCACTACGCTGGACAGGTGCTTGGCAGCTTGCTATATGATATGTAATGTACCTGTGGACTGATAATATTGGGGAATGCCCGAGCTCCAGACTCTAAGGCTAGGTTCATACCCCTCCCCGTCCAGAGTATGACACCATTCAGGGCTTGGGATGGAACCTGGACTCTCGGATCCTCTTCGCTCCAATAGCAGGAGCTGCACACGGGACAAAGATCCCAGATCACCTGAATCACATCCCACAGTTAGTGCCGCAAGTCCAGGACTCAGATCTGTGAAAAAATAGGAAGAACATGTATATCAGTCAGAGCTAATTTGATGTGGATGTGATATAAAAACATTATTTTTTTTAGAATTAATAAAAGATAAATCAAGGAAAATAAAAGATTTTTGTCAAATCTGTGATAAATTTGGAAGAGTGATTTGAATTAGAGATAATGAGAAATACATGTAATTGTGGTGCTTTTTGAAAGCTCTGGTTGTACAAAATAATATCATAATTCATATTCAAATATTTAACTAATATTTATCAAATGTATTTATATAAAATAATAAAATAAGTGATCTTGAATAAATTGTTTAATAAATGTAATAATTATTTTTTATTTTCAGATGCATGAACAGTATCCTAAATAAACATCAAGATCACCTTTATCACATTATCGCATCCTCCCCCTTTGGGCTCTAACGTGCCAGCTTTTTGAAGAAACTTGTTACAACAGGTGTCATGTGAAATGTGCCCATGTCTGATATCTATATACTAGACATACCTTTCTGTTCATTTATTTATTTATTTTTACTAAAGAGGGTTAAGGATCACACTTTCATCATGTCCTAAGGGTCCTGTGTTCACAGTCACACCCTGTAGTAACAGGATCACTATCACTATATGGGCCACATATGCAAATCTCCAACCCACACTACTGAGGTTTTTTTAGCAATTGGGGGAATTCACTCTACTTTCACACTCTACTGTAAACCTTGAATCTCAGCACTTCACACGTTATTTTTACAGACACTTAATTAAAATTTAACCATTACAATGCCTTTCAGAGATATACCTCCATAAACAGGCCCATGAGAGTTTTAGGCGTGTCTATTTTTTAACACAGACAAAGTGGAAGAAAGACAAATTGACAGAAAAAAATGTAATTAAGAACCTGTTTGAGGGATAATGAGCAAAAGCCCCCCCCCCCTTTTTTAATGTTCTCAGATGAAAAATGTATTGCTCTCAGTTATGTCTCATTTGAATATCAAATGAGATATTGAATAACTCCTAGAAACAAATAGGAGTATAGTTACGTATAAAATGCATTGATAACATTGCTCATATTAAACCCTGTTGAAGAGACCAGCTAGTTTGTGTTGGTTTGGTGCTGGTCTAGGACACCAACATCCAAAACACATATATGCTGGTTTTAGAAGACACATATGCGATTACTCACTTTTTCCTAGGATAAAAATCTGAGAAATGGGAGTATTAAACAAAATTATCCATCTCACTGGTGTCTAGGAGAAAAAAATGAGATAGAGAGATCTCCTTTGAGATTTTCCATTACTATAGCATGTGTATAACTGGTAAAGTTTCTTCACCTTCTCAACTTTGCTGTTGAAAAGACTTACTAACTCGTAAACACCACTAAGCCTGGTTTTGAATCTTGGTCTAAATCCCTGAGCTGTTCAATATGCTGTATACGCACAAAAAACCTTTCTAAGGAGGAAAAAAACTACTCAGCGACAGAGACTGACAGTTATTCCATATGGATTTGAACACAATGACATGCATTACAGTGGCTGGTGTCTATGCAGCTGAACGCTGCATTACAAGCACATGTTAGTCATCCAGAGGAAGCTAGAAAGGTGAGAAGGTCAAGTCAGGAGGTCAGGTCACACAGGCACCCGGAAATGCTTAACACCTTGTCAAGATTCAGGAGGAAATTGTGAGGGAATAATTCACTTAGGTAATGTTTCTGTGACCGTCTCTCTCTCTGACCACATTGGTCACACACACAAACACAGCAATAATCCTCAGGGCAGGGTGAAGACAGGGACTGTGTCTAATTGAAGGATTAGGCTTTTGATAACATTTGAAAAAATGTCTGCGGGGCAATGTTGCCGTGAGACAATGCCGAGGCCGGTTAGTACGCTGGTAAACCAAGTTTACACAGCAGCAAGTGATTTTAATCTCTTGGACCTTACAATATTTGAATTTTTCCACACCTGACAGCCTAACGTATTTACCAGGGGACATTTCTGTTGAAACAGAGAGTAAATAATTATGGCATGTCGAACCAGTATGCAAGTTTTAAAACAAACAGGCGAAACCTCATTCACAAGATTTGCATAGACAATAAATTGATTACTTGGAAAAACTTAAATATGGAGCAACTTCTGTTTGCTACATGCAAGTCAATGGATCAAAATTATGGAGAACTGTTATTATTAGCAAGTATCAAACAACAAAAAGGTAAAAAAAAAATTCTGTTCTGACTTTGAAAGTTTTCAACAGAAATAAATAAATAAATAATTGCTGTTATATTATATATAAAATATTATAAAAAAGTTTGAGGTCAGTAAGATTTGTTTTCCCATTTAATTCAGAAAAATAAAATCAGCATTTTTTAATTTAGCAAAGGTGCATTTAAGTGACCAAAGGCAAATATAAGTCACAAGTTTTATATTTCAAATAAATGCTGTTCTCGTCAATGTTCTATTGGTCAAAGAAACATGAAAAAGAATTGTATCACAGCTTCCACAAAAATATTAATCATCACAACTGTTTTTTACAACAATAAGAAGAAACGTTTCTTGAGCACCAAATCAGCATATTAGAATTATTTCTGAAGGATGTGACACTGAAAACTGGAGTAATGACTGCTGAATATTCATTTATGCCCTCACAGGAATAAATAGGATATAAAAAAAATACATTGTTAACTTAACACAAAGTAATTCTTCCCGGTAATATTTAATCACTTCTTTTTGTTTAGTAAAATGACAATATAAAAAGCCTCTGTTTGAATTGTGTCCATGGTTTGGGCAGTATTACCTGTGGTAGGTGAGGATCGGTCAGTTTGACTCCCGGCTGGGTGGTCTGGAGACACACAGGAACTTGAGCGAGGGGCCAGATCATCCAGCTCAGCAAAGATATCAGACTGTGACCTGTCGGACTGGGAGTCAGGGGTCCCTTCCATTAAACTCTCATCTGAAACGGTCCAAAAATATGATGAGTAAATACAAACGCAATATACTGTGTAAACATCTCTTTATGCAGGGATTTGCATTTTAGCACAATGGACCTTTTAACCTATTTCCTCAGCTGTCATGCCAGATTTTGATTATTGCTCTAGGCTGATTGAATATCGTAATATCTTCAAGAGCAAAACAACCACCATCATTACACCCTCCCCTGCAGGGATATCTCAGTTCCTGAGAATGACTTTTGTCCAGAAGCTTCTGGTACAAGTGTAGATTAAAAGATATACACATAACTAACAGTCAAGTGACTCGTAAACTTTATACTTTTAAACACTACAGTTCGCTTGTGTGCACAACTTTAGGTTATTTCTTATTCTATTTTCATCTTAGACTCTACCAGACAAACACACATATACAGACACATTACACACACACACACACGCACATATGTGTGTGTGTATACAGTAGATAGATAGATAGATAGATAGATAAGACAGATAGATAGATAGATAGATAGATAGATAGATTACACACACATACACACATATATGTGTGTGTATGCATACATACATGCATACATACATACATATATTCAAATAAGGCCTCCATGTCTGCCTGCACACACACACACACACACACAGCTATTGTATGGGAGCAGCCCTCGGCTTACCACTCACACATACAATAGAGGGACTTGACTCGACACTTCAAAACATATTGGTGCTGTCAAGCTCGCCGTCATCTTCAGCCAAGTGCTTCTTGAGACGGTCTATGAGTCTGTGAGGGAGTGCGTACACCAGCCTATAGGTTGAATGAAGGCAGGGTCAGAAATTAATCGGGCCTTGGGGTAAAATGGCATTAAAGTTGACAAATGCCCTGATATTCAAAATGTGTGTACAAAAAAGCCTAATAAAGCTTTCTTTGTGAAATAAAAAGTCACACTAGTGTTCAAAAGATTGGGGCCATTATGTTTTTTAAATGACTTTGGAAAGAAGTCTCATGGCTTACCAAGGCATTACTCAAAAATACAGTAAAACAGTAATATTGTGAAATGGCATTACACTTAAAAAAAGTTTTTTTCTATTTTAATATTTTTAATGCATTTTTACTGTGATGGCAAAGCCGAATTTTCATCAGCCATTACTCCAGTCCTCAGTGTCACATGGTCCTTCAGAAATGACACAGATTTGTAAATTTGTAACATTCTAAATGTCTTTACTCTCACTTTTGATCAATTTAAATGTATCGTTATTGAATAAAAGTATTAATTTCTTTAAAAAATCTGGTGGCGGAAAGCTGGTCAGTTTTACAAAAAGACCTCCAGACTGGCATATAGTGCTGTTTACACACAACCGCATACAGACCGACTTGAAGAAAGTTAAGATCACTGACGTCCCCCATTGCAATAATTTTGAAGTAATTTACTAAACCGCAGCTCTACTATCATATCAGTGATATATTATCTGTCTAGCCCCATAAGTGAGCAAACAAGACACTGATAGTCACTTTATCACTCCTCTGACAAAAAAAAAGAGAAAAGACGAAAAAATCTCTCTGCAATTTCTGAATTGTTTGCTCTCTTTCATGAACTCTCAGTTTGAGTCAGATGTCAGTGCCCCGGCTCTTTATCCTTACAGGGGACGGTAAATTAGCACACGGAGGGCATCTAAGAGATACGCATTGTAGCTGAGGCTCGCTCACTGTTCGCCCGTCAGCGAGGCGGCAGTCAGCTCAGATTTATGACTGCCGCTCCACACGTCTGCCTTTCAGGGAGTGGAGAGAATAGAGAGAGAAAAGAGGAAAAAAGAAGGGAACGCAGGAGGCTGAGGCTCAGAGGGGAGAACACAACGCAGCCGGCATCACTGCCTCCCCCCCCCTCGTCCCCCACAACGTCCCCCATTGTAAAGGCCTTGGCCACTTTGAACCGGGAAATCAAACGGTACCAGCCTGATTCCCCATCAAAAGAATCCCCTCGCTTTCCCTCTGCTTTCAGTAAAGAGCAGAAGAGAAAAGCTCTTTGCCATATTTATGACTTAGTCGCTGTGTAGAGAAAGTCGAAGCTCATGGTCGTGGTGTAGGACTTTGATTTTCTTTTGTTCTCTTTCATGTCTGAGGTACGGTGAATGTTCAGTTCTGCTGGCCCAACTGACCCCATCGTGTATGGATGAATATGCAAGACTCAATCTAATAAAGCGTACAGTGTGTGTAGGGGTGTGTGTATATGACATCAGATTTTGCCTTTCAGGGATGGAATTTCTAAAAATGTCCCCAGAAGAATAGCAAACCTTGAGCCAAGTTCATAAATGATGTCTTAATTCATATATTAAAATATATGACGATTAAAGCGAAACAAAACAAGTTTTTTTTTTATGAGTACTTTTGTCCTGTTTTACAGTAAAAATACATAAACATATTTAAAAAATAAATTTACTTGCAAAGCAAAATATTAAATGTTACACTATATACAATATTATAATTTGGTTTTCAGAGAATATATCTCTACTGTATATAAAACATTTTCAAAATAAATGAACATTTAAAAAAAAAATTTTCTGAATCTGGTACAATTTTTATCTCTTGATTTAAGCACAATTTCTAATAAAATTCAGTGAACTTTATTCTTTAAAAAAATAGGGGTCAGAAAAATACACGTAGATCAATATTGAATTCTTAAAAGCTTACAGTTTTCTCAAGTAAATTTATCCTTTTATAAGGATAGTCATTATAATTAGCTTATGTTTAGAACAATGTGTTTATGTTTAAACTCACCTTGCAGTTCATCCTGCCGTGGCACGATGGGAGGAAGCACAGGCCAAAGGTTCCATTCTGATCGACTATCCACTGTTGAGCAATCAGGTTTTTGTGAATGAATACTCAGGCCAGACCGACTGGATCCAGGGCGTCTATGCAAGGTTTCATTTGTGGACTGTTGGATGACCGGGTTTTGCCGAGATTGAGGGGTATTGGAGGTGTAAATTGGAGTGTCTGGCAGGCAAGTGGAAGGTGTTTCTTGTTTGCAGGAGGTGAGAGATCTGGAGAGACGTGCTTGAAGGACGTCTATTCGTGAGCTGGCCTGACTGCAACTTCCTGCAGAGCTAAAGTGAAGCTCAGGAAGAGAAGTAGAGCAGCCCTCTTGATAATAATTATTCTGGTCAAGGTCAGAAGCATGGTTATCTTCGTCATCTGTACTATTGTCTTCACAATGGTCAACACTGAAGCTCACTGGCAATGTAAAGAGAGTGCATAAATCAATCAAGGATCTCTTAAATGCATCATTTACATTTTCATTTTAGATGATAACCAAGTGTTCAAAGTCAATGTTAGGAGAACTGTGTACCTGACAGGGCATCTGAGAAGCTACTGTTCAGGTCGGTGCTACGGCTGAACTGGCTTGATGAAGGGCAGCTAAAACTGGAAAGAGAATTTGGGGTCACAGATGAAGTTGGTGTGCCTGGAGTAATTGGGCTACTTGGAGTACTTTGGGTGCCAGGAGTAGTTGGGGTGGCTGGGATGCTTGGGGTTGTCGGGGTGGACAGAGTTGTTGGGGTCATTGTGTCCTCTTCAGCCATTTCATGGTGCCCTTTATTCAGATTTTGTGGAGCAGAGCATGCATCTTCTTCCTCATCTGTCAGTTGTAAGTGTGTATTGGAGGTTTGGGATTTCTGAGGGTGATCAACAAACTTGAGTGTCAGAGAAGGACTTGTTGGAGGTTCTGGAGAAGCTCTACTTGGATTAGGGCATCCAGGTACATGCGGTAGAACCACACTGAATTGACTCCTGCTGGAATTATCCACATTTTGGTTACTCTTGACATCTGGGAAAAGAAGAGGTTGAGATCTTTTTAAATGAATGTGGTTATGAGGACAACCCATCTCTGTGGCACATTTTCCAATTTTGCTCCTGTAGGGCCACCTTCCTGCAGAGTTTAGCTTTAACCTGCTCCAACACACCTGACTGGAAGTTTAGTAACTCTTTTAGTTGGTTAGAGATCTGGAGCTGAACTCTGCAAGAAGGTGGTCCTCTAGGAGCAGGATTGGAAACCCCTGGCCAAGGGGGAGATTACATCTGGGTCAAGGTTAGGGTCGCACCACAGGATGAGGTTTGGGGAATCTTTACTCAAAAATGCAAATGAGAAAGGGCATCGCTAATGCACAAGAGCAGAAATCCTTCACTAAACAAACCATACCGCAGCATAGAGCGCCCAGTCTGCAGCTGTCTCATGTAGAGATGAACAGGACACACTCACACACTCAAACACACACTCACGTACATCCACACACACAGGCTTAATGACAGGCATTGTTCGGGGTGCACACAAAAAGAGGTCCTGAATAATTAACATGGGGGTCCTGCATGAGGGTCAGGAGGAAAGCGTATTCATCATCATTTACAGCTAAAAAGGAGAGGAGAGAGGCAAAGGCCACCCAGCCCAATAGCTGACGCTGCCCTACTCCACTGAGCCTCAGAGCAAACAGTCTTTTGCCTGTTGCGGGCCCCTGGTTCCTAACAAGGGCCCCAGACACCCCCTTCCCCTCGAAAACTCTGCCCCTCTGCAGGAGCAGCTGTCCAGTTCCCATCTCAGTATGCAGAGTGACTCTAAGATATGATAATTACCACTTGCAACCACTATATGAAGGAACTCATTCTCATAATTGGGATTAGAAACCCCATATAGCTAATTATGGATGCAATGACAGCAAAGCAAACAAACTATCTATCTATCTATCTTGCCAGGCTGACAGCTCTGTGCTGTGGATATTAGTGTTGTTTTTGGTCATCGAATAAACGCAAAAAAAAATAAAAATAAAAAAGTACACCAATAAACCAACTGCCTTTGGCTCTCGTCCCTTATCGTTTGTTGTCCCCCAGGGCAGTATGTTGTGAGTCCCCCAGCAGGGGCCTGTGTTGAAGCAGACCAGAGGCCCCTACACAATACACTCTTGTTCCACTCAGTCTGTGTCACTGAGGAGTCAGAGGACAGAACAGTGAGAGAAAAGGATTGAGTGAGGGGAAAGAGAAAGAGAGAGAGAGAGAGAGAGAGGCTGGAAAGCTCATAGCTGCACTGCTGTTCTTACAATATCATTGCCTAGTCCATCTGTCACAGTCTCACACTCACAAAATGTATGTGTGTGAACGACATGTGTCATATCGCACTGTTGTGGCCTCGCCCCCCTGCTCTCCTTGGGGAGCTAAAGGCAGGTCGGGGTTGTTGTTAGAGTCTCCGAGCACCATATGGCTGTATAATTAGTTTTGGCCTGTGATGTAGAGTAATGCTCCCATCACTGCTGACTCCCAAGCTCGCTCTGAAAGACATGGTCCTGATGTGCGTTAATGACCAATCTTATCCAAATACCTTCACACCACAGCACTGAGGCCTAATGGAAGTAGCAGGCCACTAGGAGGGCGGCACCACAGTAAACATGCATATATGAGCTTAATGGATGCATGACATTCATTTATATTCATATTTGCGTTCTTAACAGTAGCTCAATTTCAGATCATTTGGTTTAATTTGAGCAAGACATGGTACACTGTCGGGCTATAAATTAGTTTGTTTTGGTGAGGAAGGTCATTTCAAAACTGAATGATAATTGCTGTTATTCAATACGAATAGTTTCTCTGAATATAAATAAGGGATACACTGATATGAAAATTATAATACTGATCAATAAGTCAATAATTATTTTCAAGTCATATTAAATTTATATACATTTATATAGTCTTATGTACATTTAAATTTATATATTTTGTCTAAATAAAAAATTAAATAAATGAATTATTTAAATATTACAGGTGAATTTAGGCAACACATTATATTGTAGAGAATGAAAAATGGATGTTAATTTTGAGATTTGCTAAATTATTATTGTTGTGTTTTTTTTTAAAGATTACCTTTAAATAAGCAAAGTTGATGGCAGGGGTAATGTAAATGTGGAAATGAGCATGCACAATTATATGAATAAATGATAAAATATTTATTGATAAATGAACGATTTTATATCAGTCGATCATGGTAAAAAAAAAAAAAAAACTAATAACGACTGATTTAATTAAGAAGCTCAAATAACGACTGATATATGATGCATATGAATGTTCTTTTTTTTTCATTTTCATTAGAGCAAGGGCACTTTGTTAAATTTAACCCCTGTGCCTGCTGTGCTCTACGCCTGAGAAAATATATCAGTAAAAGGACTGTATATCAGTACTAACCTGGACATCTTTGAGGTTGGGGAGCACTCTGCTGCCGTTGTTTTTGCCCCAGAGGATTAGGCCCTGGTCTGGGATGCATGTTTAGGAAATGTGGGGGTCTGAAACGGACAGGCCAGGCCTCCATATGAGCATGAAAACGAGAACACAAGGGCGGAGGGCATTTCTCACGTCTGATTACCTGAAGAGATAAAAAAATATCTTTGTACTGATTTACAAAATAACATTTGAAAAGTCACTGCACTGGTTCAGCTAGCTTGAATAAGCACCTCTCTGCAGTGCCCCCTAGTGTTGACTTATTGAAACAGCTTATTCAATATTGCCCTTCACTGTGACACACACATACATTTAGCATTCTTGATGCAGGGCTAGCATGGTCCTTCCTCAGTTAAGTCAATGAATTTGGAGCAACAAGACGCAAGGAGCAGCAGTTGGTCAATAATGATATATAGAAAGGTTAACTTGTTTGCCCTTTGCCTGTCAGCTATAAAGACCAGTTAGCAAACATAGCTGCATTCTCAGGCTAATTCACAAACAATGTTTTTATGTAACAAACACATAACGTAAATTTTTACGGGAATTTGAACAGACTCTTGGTCATTTTGACACTTCTCTGTGTTTGTGTGTGTCTCGCACACTTTCTCTTTGCTTTGTGTAGCCAGATGGGTGCCACACTGCTTATAACTTGTCAGAGAGCAAGTCTTAACGTGTCCAGTGCCACAGGGCAATGTTAACAAGCACAAATACACACACGTCTTGATGTCTTTATCCCTTTTGAATTGACTGACAGTAAATTGCTGAGTAAACATGGCTATGTCTGAGCTGACAATGTTATCATAGGGGACATGTGCTCCCTGTTCCCTGCGTTATTGGAGCTCAGAGCGGTGACCCGAAACTATTTTACACTCTCTCTCTGACACTAATGAAGCCTCTACTCTGATACAAACAGATCTTTCGCACCTTTTATCTCCCTTCAGTCATTCCTTCATTAATTCGATCTCTCTTTCTGTCCTCCTGTCCCAACACATCTGTTTTAAATGCCTGAAAGGGATCCCTATGTCCATTACCTTTTTTTTTTAATGTTGTTAAGGTTAGTGAAACATGCAATCTTAATGTTTAGGATCACTTAATGCCCATAATTGCAGTAACACCACATGATTTGAGAGGGAAAAAAATAAAATTGCACTTTTTTTATGATTAAAATTTTAGAAAAAACTATAATAATAATTTTTTTTAAAGTTCTCAGTTTGCTGTGCTTGTTTGTAGGACTGCACAATTTTGCCCAACATGTTGTGATTATAATAATTATTATTATCATTATCATTATTATTATTATTATTATTATTATTATTATAAATGTATTTAATTATTGAATAAAAATATTAAACAAAATAATAAATATTACTTTTGTACTGTTTTACAGTAAAATAAAAAACATATTTAAGACAATAATAATAAAAATAAATAATCCAAAATAAAATAGTAAAAAACAATTATAATTATTATTAATAATAGTAATAATAATAAATGTTTATTTTATTATTACTAAATAGAAATATTAAACTAAACAAGTATTACTATTGTACAACAGCTGGCTTATAAGCGCTTCTCATTACAAGTTTGGGAAGATGGTTATGCACGTTATAATCGACCCAAACCCGAAACAGATGCAGAGATGAGTTTGTGTGGAGCAGCATTTACTGCAAATTGAGTCACTGAAAACACTGAATCATGAACTGCTCACGTGTAAAAGAACACAGTGTCGCTCATCACTCTGAAACATGCAGCTCATATATTTAAATTTTTTGATGAAATCACAAAATTTGCAATTTGTAATAATCACACAAAGCCACTTGGTGATTTAGGATTTATTCCAATTTATCATGGAACTCATAATTTTTCCCAAGTAACAAACTTTAGCATGTAACTTGTCCAACATTTGTGCTATGGAGAATATGCCAGTGCCGGTGAGTTTCACTCAGGCAGACACTTCAGAAAATGTAAAAATTAGGCACTGATTTAGGCACACATCCCTCAAAATACCCAAAACCAACTGTCAGGCATCATCTCCAACCCCAACCTGAAAGCAATGAAAGCGAAGCATTTACTTGCAGAAGCTGTTTGGAGTCCTCTGAGAGTCACATTGTATATTAAAATGCTGAGTGTCTTTGACCTTGTAATGGTGATTGTAGCCCCATGTCAGGCCTGAGGGTCCTCTGCCCCAGTGTGTGGGCTCTTCTGAGGCCTACAGGAAATGACATGACCCCCTGGCGTCAGGCAGGCAGCACACACACGCACACCGCCTGTACTAATGCCGTTAACCTCGAGTGTTCGTGCCGGACGGCCTTCTGACGGAGATGGGCCGGCGTACACTCGTGAATGTAGGGAGTCTGTAAACCAGAGTCCCAGATGGCCCGTACTGAGAAGAGGCCTGCATACACTTCTCAGCCTTTTCACAAACACACGTACACATACACACGCATGCTTAATAGCACTGCCCCTGTGTGAACCCTCCGCCGGGGGGAGACGAAGCGATCGGGGGCCAAACAGAAGTGTGTCTCTGTGCCTCTGTCTGCAGGGGAACAGAGGATTCCTCTCAAAAAGGCCTGACGTCTAAGAAAGCCAGGCTTAGCGCTAACAAGGTTAAACCCTGCTGAAAAAGAGTGACTTTTTCAATCAGCCAGATTTGTGTTTCTGCCCGTGCCATAATTAGCTTTGCTCTGGGACGGGGGGATGAGGAAGAGAGGAGTGGAGGAGAGGAGGGGAAGAGATGACAGTGGGGAGCATTGTGGAGTCTCTTGGATTGGGAGGACCAAATCTGATTAGCCGCTCGTGTCAGAAGCCAGGCTCAGATGCAGCTTAGCATTCTGAGCAACTTTCTACTTTCTGTCCCGGCAGACAATGGGGCTACTTTTTCGATCTCCTCTATCTCTCTTCACCCCTTCACCTTCTCTTTTAAACTTTCTGCCCTGTGCAAAACAGCTCGCCCCATCCCGCAGAATACAGAGCAGGCAACCTTGAACGCTCATAAAGTATATAGGCCAAAGCTGTACTTAATTTTGTAACTTTGATAGTTATGTTGTAGAGAAAATAATCATAATTTACATGACTAAATGTAGTCAGCCTAGTTAAGTCGCACCATCAGCATTTGCTTGTAAAAATGAATTTTCTGTCATCATTTACTTATTTACTCTCATGTCAACACTCAACTTGTATGACTCCCTATTTATGTGTTAAAATAACTGAATTTATTATCAAAATATCACTGGCTGTCAGCAATATGACTTAGATTATTCAAAATAAAAATATACTGTTCACAAGATTGGGGTCAATAAGATTTTTTTTTTTGAAAGACAATAATAATGTTACAAAAGATTTCTATTTCAAATAAATGATGTTTTTATATCTGATAATATTACTGTTTTACTGTATTTTTGATCAAATAAAACCAGCCTCGGAAAGCATAAGAGACTTAATTCCAAAAAAAAAAAAAAAAAAAGTTAGATTTTTTAATGTGTAACGAACTCATATTTTTTATGATTATTATTATTTAGTTTTTTATTTTTTTTATGTCTTATCTCACCAAGGTCATCAGTTTACGGATGCACCTCTATTAAAATTCTTAAATATTTTTTTTCATGTTATGGCTGATATTATAAAATTCTTTAATATTTTATGCATAATATTATATTATATATAATAAAACAACTAAAAATGTTATGTTTTTGCCACAAGTGAATTAAGCTGGAGTAGTAAAAGAATTTTAACATAAAAAAAATAAAATCACAAATCAGCTTTCAAATCCAAACAATATGTTTCACTGTTCCAGAGTCAGAATTATACCCTCTTATTGAGTGCTAAGACAGTCAAGTCATTGTCCTCCGATCGGATGCCTGTGTAGTTTGAATGCAGCTTGCCTTCCTGTGGCCACCCTCTTTTTTATGCACATAAAAATGGAAGTATAACTCCACTCTCCGTTAAGAAAGGACGTCATACACTGTAAACACCAGTGTTTGTCTGTGGAGTGAGGCGGGCCCACGAGTGTGTTTGCCCACCTGTGCATGTGTCATCGTTTGGGCGTACATTATTCAGGGCCCTGACGGCACTCGTGATGTCGTCTCAGTGGCGACAATGACCATGGAGACCATGAGGTATGAAGCCAATGGGTGGGTTAATCGTCTCTTGTTCACAATAGATGTTTGGACTGGGATGGCCCCATAAAGTTCACAGTGTTTGAATGCAGTGATGCGCCCAGTGTTTTATAGCATACCGAGGTGATCCAGAGGGCAAAGGATGTGTGTGCCAGTGTGGGTGTGCGTTTTCAAGTTTACCGATGCATAAGTGTGTGTTTATTCGTACTCGTGCGCCTTGGCTGATTGTGTACTGGTACGTTTCGAAGATGTAAATTAGTCAGTAAGAGGCTGGTGGATCTTTGTGCCCTTTTTACTTGTTTGTTTAACCAGAGGCTAAGACAGGAAGCCAGTCCACACAACTCGCTGTCCCCATGGTAACCTCTCTGTTGCCTGTGGCACATTCACAGTCTCTGGCCTCTTGAAGACGGAGACAGTCAGGTGGATGGGCACAAGCCATCAGTGCATATGTGTTTCCAAGTGATAGTGTGGGTCCGTGTTGGCCCCACATTATATTAAGTGGCCTTAACTACTATGTACTTACATCAAAAATTAAGTACAATGTACTTATTGTGTTCATATTGTATTGCAAAACACTTTTGCTGCTATTAAGGTGGGATACGGGTAAGGTTAGGGACAGGTTTGGTGGTATGGGTAGGTTTAAGGGTGGGTTAAGGTGTAAGGGATGGATCAACAGTGTAATTATAAATGTAATTACAGAAATTAATTACAAATGTAATTACATGCAGGTATTTTTAAAATATAAGTACAATATAAAAACATGTATGTACACAATAAGTGCATTGTACCAAATTATTAATTTAAATGTAAGTACATAGTTGTTAAGGCCACTTAATATAAAGTGGGACCGTAAATGTTAATAAATAATTACAAAGAAAT